GTATTTCTTGACTCATTAGGAGAAATCATGCCTTCATCTTGGCTTGATTTCACTGCAGCAGATTTTGGTTGGAGAGGCATGAGTGTGTTGGATGCCAACATGCACCACTGATTGATACTGTGTGAAGAAATATGTAAAGCAGCTCTGCTTCAACCATGAACTGTCAGGAATGTCAAGGCACCAGGAGCGCTTTCTTTTTACAGAACCAAAAATGTCCTGTTGAAAATTCCTGTCAGCAGCTTAGAATTAAAACAGACTGTGCTATCATACTCCAGTCCACTAGGTGGTGATGATACATTGTTATGAGAGAATCCATTTATTGATTTGGTAGAAGTATAATTCCTACATCCAGTTCCTGGAGGTGCTCTAGTAGTCTAGTTCCTGCAGTAGAAAGGTTTTTTTTTTTTTTTTCATTGTTGTTTAAAAAAAAAATAGCTTCTCTAACATTTGCTTCTGCTACTTCTTTTCTTTGTGACCCCTAGCAAGCGAGAGCAGAACAGGAGGAAGAATTTATCAGCAACACCTTGTTCAAGAAGATCCAGGCCCTGCAGAAGGAGAAGGAGACCTTGGCGGTCAACTATGAGAAGGAGGAGGAATTTCTCACTAACGAACTGTCAAGGAAACTCATGCAAGTGAGTTGCCTAGCTAGCCCAGTTTTTTTTAATGCTTTAAAACTGCATGCTTTATTTTGTTTTGTTTTTTGTGTCTGAACCCCCTGGGGTGATCACAACACTAGCTGATAAGCATCACATTATTGTGAAATTCTTTGCATAATATGACCTCAGAAGGCCTGTGACAGAACACAGTGAGTGCTGAATGTTCACTGTATAAAAAAAAAAACCACAAGAACGAAAACACTGCCATAATACAGTAGAGAAACACCAGTTTTCGTCACAGATGCTGCAGTAAAGCAGCCATATTATTCTATTATAGTAGGTATGTAAACTCAATTCCTTAGATTTTTCATGTGTTACCTAGAAGAGCGCAGCTGTGTTGGGTGTGTCATAATTCGTCCTGGGTTCTTCAGAGCACACTGCGTCGTTGATGCAGTCACTGGAGGTTAAAACAGTCTGCGTCCGCTGAGAGATTTTCTCATTCTTTCTGTGAGCGGCATAATGGAAATGAACTTTCCTTCTCCTGCGTTTCCCATCAGTGGATTTACATCACATTTCCAGTAATGAGTAAGCACTTAAATAATCCATCATGCAGCTGTCCTGTGCTGTGCCACACCCATTCTTTGTGAAGCCAAAGGTGGTGACTTTGTTTGCCCAAAAATGTTTTTCACCATATCACTGGCTTCCTATTTTATTATATTCCCATTGTACAAGCTTAACACCATAGTCTGGGAAAGGCTATTTACTTCACTGTGGTTATCAAATGTCTTTTCTGTGACTCACCACAAGTCTTGTGTTTTTCCCCTCCCTTCTCCCTGTCTCATCCCTTGTTTAAATTCATCCCCTCTCCTCCTCCACCCTCGAAACTTCCCTTTCACTTTTTCCATCAAAGCTCCAGCATGAGAAGGCGGAGTTGGAGCAGCACTTGGAGCAAGAGCAGGAGTTCCAGGTCAACAAGCTCATGAAAAAGATCAAGAAGATGGAAAATGAAACCATTTCCAAGCAGCTAACACTGGAGCAGGTAGGCTTCTGGATGGAACACAATTAGGTTAGAGTAAGAGGCAAGATGAAGGAAATCTTTTTAAACAGAAAGACTGAAGTAGTCGGAGCCTCCAATATTTCTTTATACTCCATTCTTACCTCTGAAAATAGTGTTTCTGGTCTGTGGTCAGACCTGTGTGCAGACACTGCACCACCAAGTTTCCATGCTCTGACGACTGTCTTATGCACAAAGATGTCATTTCTTCCATTGCTTCACTTTGACCTCTGTTGTTTTAGTGCTCCTCTTCCATGTGTTCAGATAAAGTTTAGAAAATTATTGAACTTCAACTTTTTTATTTTAAGTGTTTTTCTAATCTATCGAAAATGAAGTCTTTGTAAATTTATAAATTTGTAAATTATTCCTGGTATTTAATTGTTTCCTATTTCTGAGAACTTGGG